CTGCTGCTTGCTGCTTTCAATATTCCATCCACTTACCATTACACACACACACACACACACACACACACACACACACACACACACTCTCTCTCTCTCTCTCTCTCTCTCTCTCTCTCTCTCTCTCTCTCTCTGACACACACACCCTACACAAATGAAGAAAAAGAGAAAATATGTGAGGGGAAAAATTATTGATTTTATTCGCAACATTGGAAGTAAAGAGAATGATGAAACAAACATTTGTATATTACATTTGACATTTATAAAACATGATTACATATTCCTGTACTTTCAACCCCCAAACAAATCCTAAAGTAAATATAACATAAATAATAGAGACCAAATATTTTGCAACCCAAATGAAATGTCAGAAAGAGGTATCATCATGCTTTCTATTATACCATCTTAGAGTCTTCATTTCCTACTGCAAAGTCAAAACAGATGCTGAATATGATAATATGATACAAGTAAGCAGAAAACATAATTTTAAAAAATGAAAGAGAAAAAAGTGGGTAGACATAACTACTTTGAAAACTGTTATGTAGTCTCTGTAAAAGCTGCATATGTACATACATTATGACTGACCCAGTAATTCCACTCATAGGTATATCTACAACAAAAATGCATACAAATGTTTATTTAAAAATTCTACAATATTGTAGCAGTGCTATTCACAAAAATAAATAAAAAATGGAAACCTGTCCAAATGTCTATCAATTGTAGAACAAATGAAATAAATTACTATATTTACATGATGGAATTCTCTACAGTAATGAGAATGAATGCAAAAAATTGATGACTCAAAAATGTAATGTTGAGCAAAAAAAGCCAGATGTAAAATGAGTATATACTAAATGGTTTCATTTCATTTCAAAGTTCAAATACAGGCAAACTCATATATGTTTTCAGAAGTCAGGCGGTAACCATTAGAAAAAATGGGATAGTAATCAGAAAGGGCTTTTACTCGGGTAACAGTCTGTTTCTTGTTGGGTGCTGGCTACATAGTTATTTTCCGTTTGTGAAATTAATTGAGAATAGACATAAATTATATGCTTTTCTGTATATAAATTATGCTTCAATAAAAAGTTTTTGAAACAGAACATAAGGAATTAAAATCAGGAGACAAGATACCACTAAGATATTATTTTTTCATTATGACCTCACAGTCTTCAGATTTTTATTCAAAATTTCTAAATTAGGCAATAAAATGTACAGAATTATTAAGCTAAAATACTTCAAAAGCCATGGATCTAAAACGTATTCTACATTAACATGCAACCGGGTGATCTTGAGACATACAATTAAATGTCAGTCTGTTTTCTAACCATTAAAACGGCATCACTACTGCTGTCCTTCCTATCCCACAGTGATGTTATAAAGGGTGAAATGAAGTATATAAAACAGCTGTTTAAACTATAATGTAACCTTGAGCTCAGTATTACAACAAATAAAAAATAGGCCAAAAGCTCTAATATTCAAAATTTTGTGCACAGTGAGAACTTTGTTCAAGTGAACTCTTTTTTTGTTTGTTTGTTTTTTTTTTTTTGAGTTGGAGTCTCACTCGGTCGCCCAGACTGGAGTGCAGTGGC